GTGAAATATCCTGCGTGATTAATGAGCAAACCTGTGCCCAAGGTCAGACAGATTTAATATTACATTTTCTGCAGCCTTCCTCATTAGTTTATGAATGTCTTATGTTAAGAAGAGTGAGGGCTTGCTTCAGGATGTTCTTGCTTCTTGAATGTTCCCGTCTTATTTAAATTTAAAGCTGTGCTGTTTCGTACATCAGTGCTGTTAAAGAAACAAAAGGGATTGAAGATTCTGTACAGGTTCAGAAAAGACCAACATAGTGTCTTAAATGACCACATGGATCAAGGAACACAGATGCTACCCTGTGTGAAGGGTGCTATACAAATGCAAAGTTGTTGTTTTATCACCGCCAGATTTGTTTTACTATAGAGGCAACCTGTCAACAAATAGCTGCCTGCCTACAGAGCCCATAGTAAGAGTTGATGAACCCCAATTATAACTCTTGATGCATCTTTCTCTCCTTTGTGTGGCAACATCCCCACAGAAGTTATCAACTGACCTTCATTGCTCCCAGACATCTTCAACCCACTGTGCTCTTGGTATGACTCTTAAAGGTGCTGAGGGTGATTGAGTACTCCCTCACCAGTGGGGAGGTTTTTAGCCCTATTTGCGCATTCTTCTGTCAATGACAGAGCTCCTTCCCTCACTTTGTTCAATGTCCATCTCAAGACGTACTTCCCTGATGGTTCTTTCGGGCATCTCTCTCCCTCTCCACCCACTTCGGCTCTCAACCTTAACTCGGGTGCCCAGCCAGCAGTGTTAAGCACTTTAAGATATCCTGCCAACATGAGTCACTGTACAAATATACATTATACTGTATCAGAAATTGACATGCTGAAAGTCCCAGGCATTCACCTTTGTTTTTTGTGAATCATCACGTTCCCACACTGTCCCATTGTGTCATTGCAGGAAACATAGGTTTGAACAATAAATAAACTCTACAATAATATATCGCAGCAGCACATCAGAGGTGACGAACATGTGGTGAATCGGTCCCAAACCTACATCTCCCTCTTCATTTAGTTGAGTAAAATTGATGTATTGCTTGCTCAGTAAGGCGTACTTGGTGTTTAATGTTCAAACCTGTCAATTTTATTCCTGTGCACCATTATTAATGAACCTCCTCAACCAGAACAATATGTCATCTGTTTTATTAAACAGGCTGCACAAATTTCTGTGAACATACTTCAGGGTAATTAGCTCTGTTGTCTGTGAGCATGCCTTTTGAAAGCCATTGCAGGTTGTAAATCAGAATGTACCTGAATGAATGGACTGTCCCATGCGTTGCCGCACTGGCTGCCTTTTAATGGTCTTTGGAGTCTATTGATGGTCAAAAGTGTTCCCTAGGGCATATTTGCACCTCTTGAAACCTCAGAAGCAGCCTTCCTGTTAACTCGGTAGTTTAAATCATTGGGAAATATTACTCTCGGAGCAGAAGGGAGGTGCGTGAGAAAATAAATGGAGGGGGATGTAGAGAAGAAATTTCCTGAAGTATTGTACATCATTGAATGTGACAAATATATGAAATTAAGATAGAAATCCTGACTTCTTGTGAAATACAGCAAATGAGAGATTTGGTTTGACAAGTAAAACCAGGGAATCAGTTGAATATGTCAGGGCCAAGAATCCTATGCAGTAAACCTCTGAGAAGGAAACTGGACCGAATATGTTATGTCAAGTGTGGAAAAGTTGTGGATTACTAATCGTTTCATTAGTCACTTCTTGTATAAAGATAATTGCCGCATCATGTTGCTTGGTTGTCCGTGACATTTCTGTTTACAGTACTCAGAGTGCATTAGTTTGGCAGCTCAGTCTTGAAGCTTGTGTGAAGGCTTTGCTGTTTATGGCACATTGACATTTTTGTCAGTGTTTTAACAGGAGGATATTAGCCAAAGCAGTTTTGTGTTGAGGCTTCTTTGCAGTCCTGAGATCAATATCTATGGAAAGATGATTTTTGCATTTCACTGGAAATTCCTCACACTGTGTGTTCTGAAAGACCTTGTCATTTAGAGTATTGGCTTAATAAACAGGCATTTAATTCTTGTTAGAACCTTCCCGTCCCCTCCATTCTCCCCGCCCTGACCCCAGCTCGGGTCTGAAATGCTGTACACTGTCCAGCGCCTTGGGACATCCTCCCGACGTGAAAGGAGTTATACAAATGCAATCTTGTTGCTGTCGTTGACACTGAGGATGTGACCTTTTCAAACAAAACAAATCTAGCAGTGACCCTGCTGAGTAGTGGTTTTTTTATAAAATAATTCTGCTTCAATTCTGTAGTTTTGTAAGCATTCTTTTTTCCTGTCAGTTAAGGATGAGTCTCTATCAATAATTATCATGTTCTCAATTTGACACTTTTTATCCCACTGTGCTCGTAAATTTCCTGTCTCTCTGTTTCCTTTAGCCCACGCTGCTGAGGTGATGGGCAAATGCTGATCTCAACTGATGCATGTGTCCCAGTCCCCCAGGATACCACACTTGACGTACAATCTCCATACAGCTATTCTCTCTGTGTGTCTGTCCCTCAGTTCCTGCAAAGCGGAAATTGGAAATGAAATGAGTGACGCTATATCCGGATACTACACAAGCTATAGATTAACCTTCCTCCGCCACTGACTTACTGCCTTTGTTTTTGCTTATCAAAGCGAAGAATATCAGTAAACGCAGAAATATGGGAAATGCAAAGCAGGTAAATAAGCACCTGAAAGAAAGGGGAAAAAAAGCTGAGCATTATGGGTGTGACCTTTGATCAGGACCTTTTAAAGGGTAGATATTGAAATTTGCTTTGCCAGATGTTGAGAATGTCCAGCATTTCTGGTTTGTTGTTCAGTTGCTCAGTCTTAACTTTTTCTTTGAGGGATGTTAATGGCTTTCTGAACTCCCTAGTTCTGTACTAACACAATTGGATGCACAGTTGGAGTGCTGTCTACTCTGCTTGAACAAAATATCTCGGCGCCTCTACTAAACCAGCATATTTTCAGCTTCACACAGAAACCATCCCAGTGGCCTTCCCAAGTTAGAATAAGACCTATCAATGCCACTAAGTAGGATTGGCAGCATAGGGTGAATGGTAATCAGCAAACATATGCTGGAAATCATATGTCATTTGTTACATAATGGAAAACCTTGTCTGACTTTGTACTGTGACCCCCGTAGTGTGGTATTACTAACCTGAAACACTGTTAAAATTAGGCAATTATCTCTGTTTCAGCTTTACATTTCAAAAATTGTTTCAGGGATATAAATTCTGAATGCAATCTCACAAAGCTTTTGTATTCTGTGCAGATTGGTGCATTTATATGAATATGCAGTCTGGAGGGTACTATAATAATTGGGTAATGAGGTGATGTGAATATCATTCCACGACATTATAAATTCAGAGACTGAAAAGCCAAAAGGTGAGCGGTTTATGAAAATGTTAACTGCGGCAGACAATTGAACAGAGAAACGGGCATCTTTGTTCTACTTCATTTGCTGTGTGGTACGGAGCCATCGGGGACATCAGCCACACCAACAGAACGTGAAGAACAGAATCAGCTGGCTGGTAGTCTTGACAAAAGGAGAGGGGAGCAGATCATACAGGCTATTGCAACTACTATATCCTTCGATATAGGTGCTTTGTCTGAAGGTTCAGCACTGTAAAACAGGAACTGAGAAAGATGAATACAAAGTAATTTCTAGTCTTATCCTTTTCAAACATTTTATTTTTCAGAAAGCTGCCTTTTTTGTGATAAAGTACACACTTAATGCTCCCTCCTCATTCTGTAATTTATTCTCTCTGATCACCTGAAGATTCCTTCCTGTATCCCCGAGCTGTGCATCATTCTGCAATTGAAACTTGCTCTCTGGCCTGTTCCTGATGATGCTTTTAGACTGATTGGTAGGAAGCGCAGCATGTCTTATCACAGCCTGCTTCCTTAGGGAAGCATCTTGTCCTCTTATTTAATGAAGTGTCTGTCTTGTCCTCTTACCTAAATATAGAAACACGTCCAACTCAGCCACAGCTGCTGACGCTAACATTGGGAAGACTGCATTGAAATCTTGGCCATGTGGGTGCTCATAGCACTTGATCTTAAGGTGAAACAAACCTGAGGTTTGTTGGAAAGAGTAACAATGCAGAATAATTCAAATTTACATTGGTAACTTTCAGGTTTAAATTCAGAAAAAAAAGTTTTATTTCAACCTTTCTTACCCCATCTCCCTCCCTCTCCTGCCCAGATTCTCCACATCACAATCATATTCTTTATATGTTCTGATAATACAGGAACATGAGGGGGCCATTCACCCGATCAAGTCAATTCTGCAGTTTCATAGATCAGGGAAGCTTTCAATACTTTTATAATCCAATTTCTCTGACTTTTCTCCATAAACTTTAATATCCTTCCTTTCCCAAGTGTTTGCCTGTCTCCCTTTTTAAATCTCTTGTTCGATTCTGTATTATTGGCCTGAGCCAGTACATTCCAAGGATTTTTTTTATTTTTTATTATATTCCACATTCTCCAGCCTAATGTGTGAAAAATAATTTTCTGATTTCACTTTCAATGTATATTCTCCAAGTTCTGTCCTTGTCCTTCAACAACTCTTTGTAAATTTCTCCTCAGCCAAGACCTCGTCTCTGGAGATGGGAAAAGTAACTTGCTTGTTCTCTTTACTGCTAACAATTCTGAAGAATTCCTCCCCTATTGGCTTACTCTATTATATGCGCATAGATTCTGCTGTATAAGGCATACTTGTGTTTTGGTGGTCAGGCAGATTATGGTAATCGGGAAAAGGAAAAGAAACTAAACAGGTAAATAAAGTGTGAACAATCGTTGAAACTGAACCAAGTTTTTTTTCATTTTTTTGTTTTTTACACACTGTCACACACACTGCTTCCTTTTGTGGCTATTTGAGCAGAGCAAAGGGAAGTTTAATTGCAGCACTAATAAATGCAGGCACTGTTAGAGCAAGAGACAATGCTGCTTCTGCAGGATGGTGTTCATGAAGGATTCCTTTGTGATTCTCAGAAAGCACCAGGGCTCGCTGGAGGCACTTGTCGGCTGTGTCACTGCACAGAACACTTCAAACGCAGGAGGTACAAGTGGAACGATAGCTGACATCTCCAGGCTGTGGGCTGCAGCGCGACTTCAAGCCAATCTGTGATTCATGCCACAGAAATGTGAAACGGAGCAAAGAGGGAACAACTCAATGCAAGGTCCACATTTGGATCAATTGATAAGGTAAGTCTTACAGAGCAGGCCATTGGTCAGTAATAATGGTCAAGAGTCCATATGCTTGTGTCAAGACAGACAAGAGTACAGCACTGCTCCTCATCTAGTGATGATTGCTTAGTGTCCGATCCCATATCTATACAGCTCTCCGAGATGCTATCATGCATGAAGGGTGATATGTAAATATTGTTGTTGTATAATTCAGTAGGCACAGGTATGTCGCATATCGCAGAGTCAATAAATTACTTCTCTTGAGTTGTACAAATTTACACATTTTCATTACATGCAAATTTGCACACATAATTCAAACCAACTGATTAGTTTTTTTTAATCTCTTTCAAAATAGTTTTGAACATAAACGTTTCCCAAGGTTCATTTATGAAATTATTTTGAACAACAACATAAAAATTACATTGATAGAGCGCCTTTCACGTCGGGAGGACGTCCCAAGGCGCTGGGCAGTCAGGGGTCAGGACCTGAGCATAGGGGAGAGGTGGGGTAGGGGTGAGGGAAAGGAATTAAATTGGAAATCTAAATCAACAATTTAGTAAAGACCAGAATGTATCAGAAAACAAATGCTTGTTTGTAAAACATGTTTACTTGTTTAGGAGTCTGAAGAGCTAATATTTTTACGATAATGGTTTATATTATAAGTTAACATAACGTACTGTTTAAGAAGCTCTTTGAATGTAAAGGACAGCCTTCATATGTCCTAGTTTTTATTTTGTCCTTACGCCATCAGTATTTGAAGGTCTACTGAAGTGTCCTGGAGACATGAGTGAAGGGAGTAAGGCAGGCAGTTTTCAATGACTCCAACATCCCATTGTCCACATCAATATCAAACTTCAACTAAATCTCCAGTGAAATTCTTACCAAAAGTTTTTGGTGGGGGTGGGGGGCAGTCCACCATTGGATGCAAACATGAAGAGAACGGAGAAGAGTGGCATGCGGGAGGCTAGGGAGGTTAGGAGACTTGTGTGGAATATAAACACTGGCACAGATTAGTTGGGCCTAAAGTTCTATTTCGGTGCTGTAGGGTCTCTGTAATTTTATATGTAATTTGGTAGATGTTCAACAAGAAGATTAAGAAGAAAAAAGTGAAAAAAAACTGAATTTAGAAGTTCTTTTTTAAAATTATTCCATTACACAGCTTCCATATCTTTCTGGAAAACTGCACGCGCGTGTGTGTGTATGTGCTTCGCAATTCAACAGCAAACGAGGCATTCCATTTGTCATTCCGTCAGTGACAAATGTTTGATATGGGTTGTGTTAAAAAATGCCGAACCTGCTAATTCAATTTTTAAGTCACTTAAAGGTCATGCTAAGCGAGCCATTAATAATTTAACAACATAGGATCATACCAATTAAAATCAGGCAATCTATTCTAATTCAGAGTTTAACACTGAGATTGCATGACCACATTTTGTTTGAATAAAATATTTTCCTTATTTTTCCTGAGACCTACTATCTGAGGCTTTCAGAATAGCTTAATGTCAGGCAACGAATTAAGCACTTCTGCATTTTAAGTTGGAGAAACTGAACTCCGTTTAAGTGTGTTATATTTACTGGGATGCGTGTGACTTGCTCTGAGAGCTGGTGGGATTCGTGCCATCAAAGGTTGAAGCAACAGGTTAAAATTGCCATAGCGAAGTTGGAGCTTTGGAACTTGAAAGTACAGATTTTAATCCACAGGTTTCATATTTCCAAACTCAGCACTACCAACACTGGCATGGATCCATCTTGAATCCTCTTATTTTCAACCTTAGTAGCGTCCTGCACTTGAAGCGTTCATCCAGGGTTTCCCAACATAAAACCTGCCAGATTCCTGAGTGAATGTTTCTGCGGAATGTATTAGTTTGGTTCATTTGATTGATGAAGTCTGCCAAAGCTACACAATTTTCGAAAGTGAGATGTGAACTCTTTACTGCTCATTAAAATCTTTAGTTTTATCGAGCATTAACGGAGAACATTTGCTCCATTTCAAGTGCTCCCTGTTGCTTGGAGTTGTGGTCTGACTGACAGTCTTCTATAAGTATGTGTAATATAGAACATCAGCCACTTGAAACAAACTGTGAGACTAAGTGATTCAATAACCTCATAAAAGCTCGATTTAGCAATTTTCCTAGGCTGTTTGGTTTGCGTGTTACTCTGTTAGGGCTTGTTACTCCCAAATAAGACTGAAGGCACACTACTACCATCTCGTTTGTTTATAATTTGCTTCCAAAAGTTATTGCAATATTCTACATATATTATTTCTAACCAGTTTTAAATAAAACTAAACACAAAAAATTGCTAAACAATGTTAGAGACATTCCAAATTTTACTTTTATGCAGTTTCATTGTTAATTTCTGCAGTCTCATTGTGAATAAAACTGACAATTGGCTACCGCTCCAAATTGGTTGGCAGTGCGACTGACTTGTTTTGACTGAGCAATGACAACAAGGAATTATGTAGCAGGTGTTTAGGAATGTTCTATCTTATTTTATTGAAGGATAATATAGCTTGTAAGAAGCTCAAGGTGAGAGAACTGTTGCAATGAAAGCAAATAAGGTGAGATAGCATCAAAAGAGAGGCGTTGCATTATTAAGTGGGGACAAAGTACATAATGGAATCATTTGTTGGTGTCGATTGAAAAACTGGCGATTCATTTTTGATTTATGAAGGTGACAATTTTGTCTTCGGAGAATGAGAAAATGGGTGTCAGGGCCTCCGACAAATCCGCATTCATAATGAGGAAAGTTTCTGCTAAAAGGAGGTCACTTGGAAAGTTTGGTTCTGTTCAGTAGGAATAATTTAGAATTGTCTTTGCAGCATGTCTTACAGGTTTACAGTGTCCTGTCAGTGAAAAACGTTTTAATTATTTGAGAGCTTCCTTTAAGGTTGAGATCTTTATGATTTTAAAATAAACACAGTTGAATGCTCGATGCTGTTGCAAATATAACATCTGCTCTAGGTCAAACTTTTCTGGGCAACATGACTGCTCTGAAGCAGAGAGTTAAGGGCCAAATTGTACATGACGTTTAGGCTGAATGGGCACTCCACCAGCCCATGTCAATGCCTTGACCATACAAAAGGGGGCCAAGTTGGTGGTTGTGGATGAATAGACCAAAATGTGTTCCAAGATGTACAATAATTTTGAATGGAGACTGTTGTCAGTGGTCAAGTATTCATGATGGAGGTGGGGCAATATATTTCACTGATCAGTTTACTGCAAGTAGATTTTTGTTTTCTTCTTGTCCAGTTCTGCATCTATCCTGCTTCTTTGTGTAGAAACTCCCTCATTTATAATAATAATATTAATAATCATTGTATTTTATAGTACCTTTCACATCACGTGGGGGTGGGGGAGGGGAAACATCTCAAAGTTCTTCACAGGAATTACTGTAAAGTTTAGTGACTGTCTTTATGTTGCCAGATAGTTTCCACAGCAGCTGGACAACATGTAGAAAATGGGAGAAGGGAGAGGTGTTGGGAAGAACTTTGGTGTCGATCCAGTTTCCATTACCATGGGGGGGGGGGTGCAATAGAGAGAAACCAGCTCTTCTGATAAGTGTCAAAATCTCCAGAGCAATGCCATTTGCCTGCCTTTAGTCCTGGGATCCAGTATGTTATCCAGTTTGCGAATTCTTCATTTGTGTCCTAAGGGAATAAATGTGAATGGACTTTTTGACCATGAAAACCATTACAGTTAAGCCATTTGCTTGAACATCTGGACATTTCAGCAGGGTTTATTGGATATGGATCAGGACCCAGAAAAGTGTCTGTTTTTATCACACCCTAGCCTCAGCACACACCACAAAATGATACCAGCAGCCTTCTGATCCAAGGGCATTAATGTTGTCATTTGAGTTGTGCTTTTACCACCAGTGTGTTTTTGCTCTATGTGTGTGTGTACACCTGTGTATGTGGGTCTCCCTTTCTGTATCAGTCTCTTTACCGCAATTGTCACATAGTGAAGTGAGAGTTATTTAAAAATTTTGCAATGAGAATTTGTTGCATTGTTGCTCTTCCAGTGTATATTGGACTAGTTTGCTGAGAAAGAAAATCGCATAAATGATTGTGTCATTGATTCACTTCTTTACAATTCATGATGTTGGAAATTCCAAAGTTATGGATTAAAGATGGGATATCTCAGACTTATAGCCCAAAAATAGCGGTACTTGTTTTTTTTAAAAAACATTAATTTTTAAATTTAACTTAATATGTATAGTTGTATCTAATTTTTTTTAGAAAGAATATAGTCAGCCTCTGGCACATTGAGGATTGTTACAACTATCATGATAACATGTTTGGAATGAAATGTTGGACATATTGGAATGAGATGGATACTGTAATAATTGTTCCACAACCTAATATAAACCATATAATCTCAATGATCCGAGAGCCAAGTCTCAGTGGTCTTATTACTGAGGTTGGGTTACAATCCAGAACAATCATTCAAAGGAAGTCGACATGACTCTGCATTGGATCTTGTTCCAAATTTGTTTTGTTTTTGCTTTTTTTGATGTTTGAAGGATGCATAAATCTGCTCAGAGGCACAAACGGCACAGCACGGCTGCTGTTTATAAATAAATGGTTTGATGATATAAAGCAGCTGTTTTCTTGCTTGAGGCAAATACTATCAACTTACATCATTTTTGATGTGAATTGAGATCAGTCTGATTGAATCATTTCTCTGGGTGAATTGAAATGTGATGACTTTCTCCAACTGTCTTTTTAGGCATCTTGGTGGTTACTGTACTTGAAGGATCAATGGAGAGGCTGTGCATATCTGTTTGCAGAGAATATCAGGCAAATGTAGTTTGCTTGATTTCTTACATTCTTTGTATCAGTGCTCTGAGACACTGTATAACTGCATGTTTTTGTATTTATTTTTCAAATTATTTTTTTCCATTAGCTTCTCCCTTCTTCTCTCCTGAATTCAAGGTTGGGAAGCCAAGAGCTCATTCCTCACATGTGAGCCTAGGGTTTGGAGATATTATTATAAAATGAATGCATACTTGTTTAA